GAAGTGCTGAAGAATGTCATAGGGAGAAAGGGGAGAAGGTATTCTTAGCAGTGACATCCCCACCCACACCCCTCATTTGCTCCTCTCTTTTGACTTTCTGACTTGGGAGCAGATAACAGGGCAACCAGCCCTTGACTGCACCTCTGTTTGAGCTCTGCCATTCCCTTAGAAATGCTGTCCTTCACTTATGTTTGTGCCTTGAGCCAAGGTATTTAGTTCTATTAATATCCTGATGAGTTTTCCAAGTTCAAGAGCCTACAAAGTCCTGGAGGGCCTATGCTGACCTTAATGTCCAAGTTCTACCCCTGCCCCCAAGTTAACCATTTGGAGGCTTTGCTACTTGTGAGTGATTAAAAAAAGGTGAAAGGTGATGGCTAGACCTAATTCTATTTCAATAAGCCTTACATCTATAGAATCATTGGTTTTTTTTTCAATACTTTAAAAAAATATTTCTATGCTTTCTTTTGTGTTTTAGTCAAGTACTTTCTTAAACAAACAATAGCACCACTTTGGCATTGCTGGCCAAATCCGTAAACAGGAAAGCAAGATGGACTGCTATATACTACTCTAGAAGCCTCCTAGGAAATATTTTTTCCTGATGGAGACCATTGAGCCATGCGGCATAGGGGACTTCCTACATACCAACAAACTAACCCCTCAAGGGCAGGGGCAGTTTGGAAATGGCTCCTGCATAGGATTTAAATTTTTTTTAAATTTTCAGAAACTGATGAGGGATTTGATTTCTGCTCAGAATGCCACCATGCCACTATGAACCCTCTCGCATGTATTCTAGACTGGCAAGTGTAAGTAGTTTTTCTGTGTCCACAGGAGAGGGAGATTTTGATGGGATAGAGGACCACACCTAGTCTGCTTACTACCCAGCTTGACTGTTCATCAGAATCCCTTCTTTCGATGATGGTTAAAGTATGGGATTATAGTAAAATGTTAGCTCCTTCTAGGCAGGAGCAGTCCTATTTTTGTAGTTGTATTATCAGCACCTAGGAGAGTGCCTTGCACATCACAAGCTCTTAATAAAAATTTGTTGATTGGTTGTAGACCATAGTGGTCATCTAGTTCAATCTCCTTATTATATAGATGCAGAAATTGAGACCCAAAGACACACAAGTAGTACTTGGCAGAGTTAGGATTTGAACCCAAAGTTTTCATTGAACCACACTGATCAAAGCTGATGCCAATTAGGCTCTTTTGCTTTGGGCAACCTCTTCTTGTGGTTGTGATAATTCTTTTTCTTTTTCTTTACTAGTATAAAGTTAGTAGATGAAACATACAGACCAGTAGCTGGGGTCTAGCTAACACCCATAGTATCATGCACCATCCTGGGTTAAGAGGCTCAGGAAAGGCCTCTTAGAAGTTATGCTGGAGGCTGGAGAATTGAAAGTATTGCCACCACTAAAGACCCTCTTTGGGAAGGGAGTGTTGGCCATCTACAATGTCTATCACTACTCTCTCAATGAATGGCCAGGATTAATCTCTTATACAGCCTCTAGTGGTACCTAACAGAATGCTCAATAAAAGCTTCTTGACTGGAAATTGACACTGTTTTCAGTACAAAATGATGTTGTATCAGATATGTAGTATGGTTTCTTTTTGCATGTGTGTCTTTGAGTCTCCAATCCCTGGCATGTAAATAGGTGCATGATAAATGCTTATTGACTGATTGATAGGTACATGCTGTTTCCCGTTAAAGAAAGTAAGCTCCATGAAAGCAGAGATTGTTTCATTTTTGTTGTTGATGTTGTTGGCTTTGTATCACTGGTGACAAGCACGGTGCCTGGCACATAGTAGGAGCTTAATATATTTTGTCAATCGATTGATTTAAGAAAGGATTTTGATTCTATTGCCAAGGATTTTTTTTAAACTGTCATTCTTCCTTTTTCCCTTTTTTCTCTTTACAGCTTCCCATTCCTAAAAGCACATTGTAGACTATTTTTTTTAAAAAAAGAAATCTTTCTAAATGAATGGATTGAGTAGATAAAATATTGATTCTTATCCTAATATCAGCTCAAGAGGTGACTATTTTTGCTTCTAGGTATCTAACTCTAAATGGGGAGGGCAGTATTTTTCTGTTCTTTAACAACACTTGGTATTTGACAGCTGACCTTTACACAGTATTCGCAAAGTGCTTTACTATACATGATCTCCTTTGATTTAAAATACCCCCCCACCTCCATTAGGGAGGGTGCATTGACACTAAGGACTCAGAGATTGAAAAACTCTCAATTTTCCATTGAAGTGACCCAGTGGGCTGAGAAGCCAGAATGTTCTCTTTTTTACAGTATTATGTGACCGTACTAAGTGCATAAAGGAGAGATGGGCCCCTCAAATGCAAAAGAATAAGATTCATAAGAAAGGCCCGAGAGCTCAGTGCTTTTCATGGAAGTGGAGGAAAAAGATGTGAAGGTCAACTAGTTCATGTGCTTAATCATTGAGGACATTCTTACACTGGGGAGTGGGGTAGACTTAGATGACCTTAAAGGTCTCTTCTAACTCTGAGATTTGAAGAGTCTAGGAATATTTACAAAGCCCCATTAATGATAGAGAGGCAGCATGACAAGACTTTTCACATTATGACATTTTTTTCTCTTCCTCCCCCACCCCAAACAGAAATTTTTTTTTTAAAGAGGATAGTGCCTGGCACACAGTAGGAGCTTTATAAATGCTTGCTGATCGAGGTTTCATTGGGAATAAAGATTTGATTCCACCAAATTAACATCTGGTTTCTTAGCTCCCTGTTTAATATCTCTGTTAGATACGACCGAGGAGCTTTAGAATATTGGGAAAAGGGACCAGTAGAGAGATGCTTGAGCACACGTTAGGGAAACAAACAGCTGACTGTGGGACCGGGGCCTAACACCACCAAATCAATGTGCTTCAGAGCAGCCTTGAATGTCATAGCCACATTCTTAAGGATCTTAGGAAACCAGGACCCTTAGGGCTTGAAATGGGGAAACCAGACTGAAATGAGCTTCTGTGGGCCTGTTCTCAGTGTCTGCTTTCCTAAGAAAGCAGTTTTGTGGCACCCCAGGAAGTGTCTGTAGAATACTTATGAGAGATTCCTGGACAGAATTTTTTCCATGGAACAAAATTTTCTGTCTGGTCAAGGAAATGCTTTAGAACTCACTAGCTACCAAATTTAGTGAAAAGTAGTCGAATTAAAAAAAAAATACATGTATAGTGATACATTAGTCAGAGGTTAGATTAAAATTTATTCAAGGCAGTAGTTCTATGATTATTTTATTCAACACTGTTTGAATATTTTGAACCATGGGACACATGGACCTATAAGGAAGGAGCAAATTAACATTTTCGGATATCTAGATGATCATTTCATGCACCAGAAGAGGTATTTACTAAATGGAGGCTGTTTGCCTGAAAGAATCATTGTATCCTGAAAATTTAAGCCACGTCTCCCTCTTTACTGGTAGAAATCAGGCCGAATTTGGCTTTTTCTCTGTTTTCTCCTCTTCTCTCTCTTTCTGTTTGTGTGTGGAAATCAGAATGCATAATTCTATCCAGTCCTCAAATATAGCATGTCCCATGTGCTTTGAAATACTTCTGAGAAGCCTGGTGAGCTATTAGCACATTGATGCTTAGAGTAATTTGTGAATGCATCCTATGGTTATGATATTGTCACCCATTCAGAGGATTCCTTTCACTCCGGCAATTCATTTTTGTGGGGTAGAATCGAGAGCCTTTTCTTATTAATCCTCACACCACTCTTGTGAGGTAGGTAGATGACAAGAACTCTCCCCATTTTGCAGATGAGGAAACTGAGGCACAGAGTGGCGAAGTGACTTGCCCAAGGTCACACAGTGGTGAGTCCACAGCAGTTTGAGTATGGGGTGAGAAAAGGATAATTTTGTACCCAAAATTAAGAAAGGAAAGGGAGGACTTTTAACTCCCAGCCCTTGACACTATTTGCTGGATTGATTTCTCTTAATGCTCTCCCATGGAGAAAGAGGTAATCATTCTTCGTATCTTTAGCTCTATTTTTGAAAGACATTTTTTTTGGGGGGGGGAGGAAATATGTTTTTTGCTTTCCGTCAAAACCAGATGAATTTTTTAGTTCCTTTTCCCTTTGTTTATGTCTTCTCCATTTTGCTTTCACCAGTTACGGTTTTGGCCAGACTCCTTCAGGTAACAAACTACAAAATAGCACCATTGTACTAGAAAACAGAGTTGTACATATGATTTGATAATATTCTGTATTGATGATATGCTAAATTTTACATACTGCTTTTACATGGGAAAAAATAAAAGGAAGAAATGACTTAGATTGCAGAAGGAGACACTGAGCACTCAACAAACTGGGACTAGGGTCTACAAAAGAATTCGTTTTGCAAATTGTGTCTACTTGCTTGTGGAGGAAGAGGTGGGGGGTGGGGGGGAGGAAAGAAAACTTTCTCTTTAAACTAAATGGATCCAACCCATATTTGGTCCAAGTGCCACAGATGGGAAGCTGTGTGTGTTTGAAAACCTCATGGTGTTACTTTCCTGCTGGGGGTCGGCTACTGAGAGTATTTGCATCGTGCAAATGGAAAGGGAAGGGAGAAGACAGACAACCGTTATCCCACACCGTTAAAAACAAACAGCCCTGTTGTTTGTTAAAGAAGTGCAAATAAAAATAAAACAAACAAACACGCACGCGCACACACACACACACACACACACACACACACACATGCACGTTTAGACAAGGCTGGTGAATGCGTTGCTCTCCCAGCCAAGGGTTCATAGATCGATTCTGAGCAATTGCATCTATGGAGGCCCATGGACTTGTGGGCTTTTGAGAAAGAAGGGAATATATTTTGTTTTGCTTTTGTACAGGATAGTATAGAGAAGTTACAGAATCAGAGAGCAACGTAGCAGCTCTGGGAAGATGTTTAGCAAGGAGTTGACACTAGTCTTTTAAAGAGGTTTAACATTGGAATGTTAGCTCAGTTCATCCGCCCCACCCCCACCCCCACCCCCCCGGGGAGAATGCCCATTGCTTTGCCTTTTCATCAAGCTTATTAAAACAACTGGTGTGTTTTGTTTTTGTTTTTAAAGTCTTCCAATGTTGAACAAATAACTTATTTACAGAGAAGGATCCTGCAGAGGTGGCATGTTCATTCTTCGCCCCTGGATGGTAGTTCTTACATTCTGTAGTTCCTGCTTCCTGAGTTTCCTCTGCTTGCGTTCTTCAAATGGATTTCCTGAAAAATGAACAAAAACAATCAGTCTTCGCCAGTCCTAGCCAGGGACTTTGTGAGTGCACCTTCTCTGCAATTTCATCTTAGAAAGTTGCCTACAGAAGTCGTATTCAAACATTTTTGGTCTTGGGACCCCCTTGACACTCTTGAAAATTATTGAGGCCCCCAAAGAGTTTTTGTTTTTATGGGTTATATCCATCGATGTTGACTATATTAGAAGTTAAAATGTCAGCATTATCATAAAATAGTTGGAACCTCATGGATCTTCTTGGACCCCTCCAAGCCCCTGGACATTTTGAGAACCACTGACCTAGAGCACTGAGATGTTAAGTGACTTATTTGCCCAGGGTCACACAGCTGGTATGGGTCTGCTGAGGTAGGGCTTGAACCCAGGTCTTCCTTGCCTCAAGACTGGCTCTCTATTCACTGTGCCACACAAATCCTAGTCTTACCCAACATATCAATAATGTTCAATTCAACTCAACATTTAATTAATGCTCATTATGTATGAGGCATTGGGGATATAAAACCCAAAGCAAGATAGTTCCTATCCTCAAGTAGGACATTTGCTTTCCATTCACTCTATCTGTCTATCTGTCTATCTGTCTGTCTGTCTGTCTGTCTGTCTATCTAATGTATGTACATTGTTATTTGCATATTGTCTCCCCACTAGAAAGTGAGCTCCTTGAGAGCAGGGACTGTGTTTTTGCTAGTGTTTAGCAAGTGCCTGACACATTCTAAGCACTTAATAAATGTTTGTTGACTGTCTGACTACTGGTAGATACAAGAACATAAAATAAATAGACACAAAGAATTTATAAAGTAATTGTAAGGAAAGAAAGGGCTAGTAACTGGGGGTCAGGAAATGTCTCATGTAGAAGGTGGTACCTGAGTTGAGTTTTCGAGGAAGCTTGGAATTCTGCATGGCCAAGGTGAGGAGGGAGTGCATTCTAGACTTGGGGACCACTTCCCACTGCTAAATATGACCCTCGGATAATTCTATGCCACATCTCAAGAAGTATGTCTTCTTCGGGCTTTTACAGAGGAGCTATTTTTATTTAGGAGAGAGAGGTGCTAAGAATCATAAAAGTTATAGAGGTTCTTAACCTGGGATGCATGAAGTTACTTTTTTAAAAAATTGATAATAGTATTTCAATATAATTAATTTTCTTTGTAATTGAGTATATTTTACTTTATGCATTTAGGAGTATGATTCTAAGAAGGGGTCCATAGATTCACCAGATTATGAAAGGGGTCCAGGACTCAGAAAAAGGTTGAGAACCTCTGATCCCTTGAACCTTTTTGCCTACTTTTCCTGACCATAGAATACTCTATACTAATGAAATTACAGGTTTGGTCCCTATCTCCCATGTATATAACAAAGAGAGGCAGTGCGGCACAGTGGATAGTTAGTTAGCCATAGAGTAAGAAAGACATGCGTTCAAGACATGGGTCTAAGACATATCATGCTTATAGGACCTGAGCAAGTCCTTTAACCTCTCACTGTTGCTGGCAAATCACTAAGAATATAACTTGGAGAGCAGGTGCTAATCTGCCTTGGTAGAGGGAGTTTCTTTACCAGAAATTCCAACAAGATCACAGGCCTAGTTCAACCCTCTTCCCCCAGTTTGAATAGATAATCACAAAATTGAGGCACTGGAAGGATCCCTTAAGGTCAGGTAGTTCAACCCCCTACTTGGAGCATAAGCACCTTCTACCATATCCTTATCATCTCTTATACAGTAGCACTTAATAAATGTTTTCTATTTCATTCCACTCTGCACCACTCCATTCTGCTCTATATAAGCGGCCATCCAACTTCTATTTGAAGGTCTCCACTGACTAGGTACTCATAATTTCACAGGACAGCCTATACATTTCCTTTATAGTTGTTTTTAATGGCTAATAAGTTTTCTATTGATCCCATATTTGAGTCCCTTTAAATTTCACCTACTGGTCCATGCTCTGGGACCAAGAAGAATATGGCAAATTGCGTTTCCCTCATATTGCTCTTGAAACATTTGAAGATACTGATGACTTTTCCTTAATATCCCTGAATGGTCCCTGAAATTATTATTATTATTTTTAAGTGAAAACTGAATGTCAAAGCTGGGAAAGCCCTTAGAGATAACAGTCCAACCCTTTCTGAGGAGACTGAGCCCCAAAGAGGTGAAGTATAACTTGACATTTATGGGAAATTCTGTCTAGTGGTTCAGCAACAAAAGAATCTGAGCAGCCTACTTTATAGGCTTCTCTTGCCCTGCTAGTTGGCTCCTTTGCACAGCCCTGAAAAATGGCCAGGGAACTGTTAGTACAATGGTTAGTACAGGGTTAGTACAGTGGTTAGTACAGTTAGTACAGGAATTTGTGGAGAATGGAGAAAGAAGAAAAGAAATCAGCCTCAGGCTCTCAGACATTGATTGAAAACATGCAAAAGCAAGAACTTTTCCTTTGCTCTTGTCAGCTGCAGTATATTGTGAAGATGTAAGGATTCCCTTTCCCCCAATGAGGTAAGAACATCAATATTGTAGCATATTGAGAGAAGAGGGTGAGAGGAAGGAGGGAGAGATAGAGAAGGCAAGGAAATGGGGGGAAGAAAGAGAGAAAGAGAGAGAGAGAGAGGGAGAGAGAGAGAGAGAGGAGAGAGGAGAGTGAGGAGAGAGAGAGAGAGAGAAAGTGAGTTAGTTGCAAGTCTTCCAGTCTCCAAGGCTGGTGGTCTCACCACTATGCCACCTAGCAGGCCTTTAGCTAGGAGTGAGAAGATGATTTTCCTCTCTGCTCTCAAAGAGGGCGTTAGTTTTAAGCCTGAGTGGGTGCAAATTCATAGAGATTAATTTAGTCTCTTCTTGGAGGTGTGTCTCCATAGCCAAGTAGAGGCATAGACACAACTCAGCTGAGCCAAGTGAACTTCCCAAGTTGCGCATTCCCCCCTTCTCTCTCTCCCCCTACTTTTCCCGCCACAAACATACATGGCTGCGACTGTTCAAAACCAGCTGGAATGTCTGCTTTGCATTTGGCTCAGTTCCCAAAGTCTCACACATGTTTTCTTTGTTGCAGACAATGGAAATAATAAAACAAAAGCACTTAGGGACTGTGGTCTCAGTTGCATTTTTTGCTTGGTTCATTGTCTTAATTTAATTACCCAGAGTAGTCTTGACAAGAAGTGGAAAGCATTGGCCATGTGGGCAACCGTGATGGTGCCCACTTTTTTAATGCCATTTTGCTGGGTACTGAAACTGTTCCTAATTTGGCAAAAATTGTCCCAAATTTCTGCAAACTTGTCAATGTGATTAGGTATTTAAAAAGGAAAACAGCAATGAGTTAACAAAAAAAGAACTCTGTCTTTTAATGGTACAAGGGAATGGGTAACCACTTAGGCCAAATTGGGAGGGACCCTGAAAGACATTCAGTCCATCAGTTTGTGACCAAAAATCCCCTCTCTCATACTGGCTATGGAGTTAGAGGGTCTAGTTCAAAAGCCTGCCTCTAATGTTTGCCACCTATGTGACCTTCAACATGTCACTTAACCAGTCTGGGCCTCAGTTTCCTCATTTGCAAAATGAAGGGGTTGAAATAGATGGCCTCTGAGGTCTCTTTTAGGGCAGCTAAGTGGCACAGTAGATAGAATGCTGAGCCTAGAATCAGGAAGACTCATCTTCCTGAGTTCAAATCTGGCCTCAGACACTTATTAGTTGGGTGACCCTGTGTAAGTCTTAACCCTGCCTCAGTTTCCTCATCCGTAAAATGAGCTGGAGAAGGAAATGGCAAATCACTCCAGGATCTGTGCCAAGAAAATCCCAAAGAGTCAGACATGACTGAAATGACTGAACAACAACAGAGATCTCTTTTAGCTCTACATCTAGGAACCTATATGTCACTTTATATCCTTAGGCCTCAGTTTCCTCATCTGTAAAATAAAAGGGTTGGACTTTGAGGTCCTTTAGATTGATGATCTAATGACTTTATAATCCTAAATCACTTAACTTTCCTGGACTTCAATCAGTCAGTTAATCAGTCAACCCATAAGTATTTGTTGGGCTCCTACTGGGCCCTTTACTAGGTACTGGGATACAAAGACAATTATAGGGCTAGGCTGCATCAACTGGGGCTTTGTCTCAGGTCATTACAGTTTAGATGGTGCTCACAGTACTTATGTTCCTTCTGAGGTATAGGAGCAACTGAGCTGAATTCAACCTATTTAGCAAGAATAATGAATTAAAACAAGAAGAAACCACATGATATACCTTCTCGTCTTCCCACCCCCCCCATCTCTCCTCCCCTACCTACTGACTTTATCTTAAAAAACAGATATGATGGTAGCCACATTTCGCTACCATCATTGCTACTGATGGCTCTGTGTAGAACTGGCAGCCTGATACAAACAGCAGTTGACAGCTCCCAAACCTAGAAATTGAACAGACTTCATTTGTTTCCCTCTACTACCACCGTTAGCTTTTGCCCCAGAGACACAACCCACTTGTCTAATATGAAGACATAGGGCAGCATGATTACAGGCCCTCTACTATTCTGAGGGGAAGCAGTGATGTTTCCACTCGGCAAACGTTTCCAGTGCTGCCCATTCGGAACAAGTCAAGTATTGTAGGCCACAATATCTTGGCAATAGAGAGTACCCTTGAGCACTGGGGAAATGCTGTTTGGCCATGCTAAGCATTAGCACACTCTTGTCCAACAGCAAGTACCATCTCGGCTTTGACCTCTTCCCCAGAAAGACCAATAACAAAGGAGAGCCACTGAAATCTTGAAGGGTCAGCAATTTCCCTAGCTTGTTACCTGTTCGGAGCAATTTGTGGCAGCAGTATCAGTTATTTGTGGGTGTGTGTGTATGTGTGTGTGTGTGTGTGTGTGTGTGTGTGTGTGTGTGTGTAGGAATGATTTAGTGGGCTCGGTATCAGCTTGGATATCCCCGTCCCCTGGGAATCACAAGTCCAAATTCCAGGAGGGTTAGGTCAGCCTTTCATCTCTGGGAATCAGGCATATTGAGT